TTAAATATACAAAATGTATACTATAACAAGTTCCATTATTGAGTTAATAAGTAATAATATTAAAATAACATGTTAAGTTACAGTTTTAACAAATACAATTCATGTTGTAATAAGTCATTAAAATTGAATGTGCAACATGTGTTATTAAAAAATTCTTTGATTGAATTTACAAATAACATTATTAAAATAATAAATCAAGTTAAGGTTTAAGACATTTTTAGATGAAATTTCATATGTTAATAACCTCATAATTACACTTAACAATCTTCTTTTTTCAAAACAAAAATATAAATTTTAAAAATATCCTTTATTTAATATATTGAAAAGAGAGAATGATGAAAATTAAAGAGATAATAAGAGAAAGAGTAATATTAAAATAATTATATTTAATAAAATCTTAATCTTCTTAAAATTTCTTATATTTTGAGACAATTTATCTCTCCTAAAAATACCTTATAATTTCAAATGGAGGGAGTATAAAATAATATTAAATATGAAAAATGTATGCTTTAACAATTTATTTTATTGAGTCAACAAATAACGTTACTAAAATAACAAATCAAGTTACAAAAAAATAATTGGAGGGTATTTTATTCATTTCCCTACAAAACATAACTTCAATTAAATCATTTGATTCTACAGTAGAATTTTAAAATTTTTGAGACTGATTTAAAATGAAATCATATCCCTAGTTCTTTAATAAAATGGGAAAACTATTTTGTTGGTACCTATAATTTTTTTCAATTTTTAATTTGGTACCCTTTTTTTTTTTTTTATTCCCTCCTTCAACTTTTTTCCATTAAAGACGCTAGCCCTTGTAGATTAGAAAATTGCTTGAGGGACGAACGGAAATGCAAACGACGTTAAACCAGAAAGTGACAAGGATCTAAAGGCTTCGTGTGTGACTGGGGATTGGAAGATTCAGATCATAGCAAGCGATCTTCATACATGCAACTGGGCTATGTCTTATCACCAGAAAGCATGCCAATCTTTGTGCGATAGGCTGATCAAAGTTCACCAGAAAGTGAGGTTCCAATTTTCATTGACTTGTGTCTGCGTTTTTCTGGTGCAACTCCTTGACATTGTAGAAGAAACTATGCTTGACCCCATGACAGTCTTTGCCCTAATGAAATTGAGGATCCTGATAAATTACATGAAAATTTAAAATTGAGTGTGTCTTGCAATTCAGTATATATATTTGCATATTATGACTTCCCTGTTGATGGATTCTTGCTGAAAGGAACTCACAAACCATGGCAATAAGTACAAAGCGCATAAGTAGCACTATAGCATTTCCCTACTCTCATTTACTTTGAAGAAAATTCATCTGGGTAACTTGTCTGCTAGAAACTACCCATTCTCCTTTCCTTTACATTCACAAAAAAAAAAAAATTCCTTTTAAATCCTGCATGCTTATAGAATATAAATTTGTTTATCTCAACCACTTTAATCAACAATAATTTGGCAAATCTCCTATCGTGCACCGAAGACAGCTAAAAGTTGTGGCATTCCCAATCACAATTTTGATAGAAAAAAGAGTTTTGGATAGAACAAAGTATTGTGACAGATGAATCTTTGCAAGCATCACAGAGCAATGTTTGACTGTGCTTTGAGATGAGTTAGTTGGTAGAGTGAACTTCACGATCATGAGAGAAACAGAGCTTCGCAGAATCGGCTCGACAGTAAAGCAAACCTATGGAGTCGCCACAGTAGTCGTATGGCCGTTGAGCTTTCGGCACCTTTTGGTTTAACATTGTTTTTGTCTCCGTTCATCCCTTATAAATTTTCAAATCCATAGGCGTTAACGTCTTTAACAGAGGAAAGTTGAAGGAGGGAATAAAAAGGAAAAAAAGTAGAGGTACCAAATTAAAAATTGAAGAAAATTATAGGTACCAACAAAATGGTTTTCCCTAATAAAATTCTCCCTATTGTTGACCGTAATATATCACTTTTAAGTTTTAAAACAAAATTAAGATAATGTATAGCCTCTCCTGTTTTGTCCGTTGAGTTGGACAAGACAACGTATAAATTTTAAAATTATTAGACTGGATAATTAAATAAATTGGTTCTTAAATTATAAGTTTAAAAATATTTGAAATTGTAAACTTGATTTTGGTGTAATGTTTCCCTTTAATTTTTAAAAAAAGTGTAAGCTAATCCTTACTATTAATAAAAGTTAACTTTGATGGTTAATTAAACAAAAAATGATTAAAAAAAGATGTTAAAAATTATAAAAATGATCAAAAAATTACAATAAAAGATCCTAAAATTACTGATAATGACTTAAAATATTACATAAAAGGATCAAGAAAATCTTATTGGTCATTTTCTATAATTTTTTTAATTTTTTATATTACTTCTAGTTAATTAGCAATCAAAATTAGCTTTTGTTAATTATAGAGATTAAATTGCACCATTTTCAAAAGTTGGAGGTGCAATATTGCACCAAAAATAAATTTAGAACCTCAAAACCTTCCAAACATATAGTTGTTAGGGGCCAATTTGTTGTTTTACTTCATTAAATATGAAATTTACAAAAGTGGATCATAAAATTTGAGAAATTTGTGTTTTTTATATCTAGAGATTTTGAAAGCTAATCACTATTCAAAGAAAATTGAGTCAATTTAAAGGAATTGTATAGGTAGTTTAGCAACATTAATTTTGCGGAACTTTGTGGACCAACAACATTTTGCGGAACTTAGAATTTGAAAATGCCCATCCCATCATTTTATTGAAAATATCAGATTTAAATGAATCAACAATATGTTTCAAATCATAGGGTGTGTTTGAATTTTAAATAGGAAAAATTGATTATACAAAAAAAATTAATGGAAAATGGTGATGTTTAAATAAGATTTTCTAAAATTGATTTTGCAAAATGAATTCACCAAACGGAGGAAAAATTAGTTCCTACAAAAAGAAGTTTCAATAGCCAAATGAAATTTGAAAAAATTGAGGTGTTTGATTAGTTTCGATAAAATGGAGTTTTAAAGGTTTAAAAAAATTAGGAGTGTTCAGATAAACTTTTTTTAAAACTATAATTTTAGACCCATAATTAATTCTAGGGAATATCCAAACAGGCGCATAACTCGTTCTTATAAAATATGATTCACCTATTTACCAATCAAGTAAAGATTATATGCTTTTCACAAAAGTCTTCCGTGTTTCTTATATGAGATGATTAACTTTGATGTGACAATGAGGGATCAGACTTTATGGTATGTTAGATTTCCTTTTCCATTTCTCGATATATAATCAGCAATCAGGATAATATTCCTAAAGGCCAGATGGCTCTCCACTCGAAGAACAATTTTATAATTCCCATGAACAATACAATAATAGAATGTCAAATTATTAATTAAAAAGACTTAGATCCAGTCTTTAATTAGGTGGAATTATTTAAAAAGGCCAGATTACTGCTCATGATTTTTTTTTAAAAAAAGAGCTATATAAACTAAAATTGATTGAGATTTATTATTATAAATTATATTTGTTCAACTTGAGCATAAATAATTATTTTAGGATATCTTTAACAAAACCAAGTTTTAATCTCCAAATACCTTTGAACCTTGAGCCGAGAAACAAATTTAGATCAATTATTGTTGGAGATTAATGCTTTATTGATCTTAAGTTATTAAATAAAATAAATTAATATAAAAAACTGAGAAGGAAATTAAAATAAAAAATATATGAGTGACATCTAATAATTTAGTGATGCGGACAAGACATTTATTTTGTTTAGGGAAACAGGTCTAAGATTAAGTGCAATGAATTTTTGTCACTGTTTGGGAATAGTGTCATGTTTTGCCAATTTAACTAAAGCAAACGAAAGTTTGAGTTAGACAATGCAATTTAAAATTGTTAGTTTCAGAGTCCCTAAAAGGAATTATTCGTGTCGCAGATAAAATCACATGACTTTTTTTTTTTTTTTTTAGCCCTGAAATTTCTTTAACATTATCGCTATTCATAACTTTCTCACAGAGTGACTATGGGACCACTATCATTATTATTAGTATTTTTTGTCCACTTGCATTAGTTAAATCCGTTAGTTGTTATATAGTAGTATTTTTTGAATTATTTTTGAAACATAAAAATTACAGGAAGTAATTTAGATATTTTTATTTTTTAGAAATTAATAATATACATTCTAGAAAATAAACAAAAAGATAAATACTTTTGAATGATAAATTTCAAATATACTTCTTATGTATAACATATACTAGAAGATATACTTCATGTATATAATAATGAAGTTTTAAATCTTCAATATCAAAATTTGAAAAATAAATTGTAAGTTTTTCACCCATCTCAGTATCAAATGTTACAAGATTTTGACTAAACAAGTTTTTGAAACCTTTAAACATTGAGTTACAAATTCTCACATCAGTGTTCCATCAAATTGCTGAAGTGTCAAGAGTCCTGAATTGAAATTTTTGGATCTTTTCTCCGAAAATGACATTGAACATATCAATTGGCCCAAACCCTCTTCCCCATTTATTATTTTACAAATAATGACAACCAAAGACTTCCTAAAAAAATTAATACCAAATCAAGATTCTTTTAAAAAAAATTAATGGTGAAGTATAGGAGGATGAGTACTAATTTTGAGAACTTAAGTTATGATAATTTTGACATTAATTTTATGAAATCTTTAATTGTTATTCTCCTACAGTTGTCAACCATACACACCACCCAAGAAAATCCCATTTCCACCTCCGAATCAATAGTGAAGTTATGCATCAAAAACCAATAATAATAATAATAACAATAGTGGAGTTCTCTATCAACCAAACTCGGCCTAACCCTTACACCGATTATTTTGACTGTGTTTATCTTCTGTATAATCTTCCAAGTTGGAATGTTAAAATAATTTATTGGAGTTCTAAAACAACCACGCCATTACAAAATCATACAAAGTCGCCCAAAAGATTCTTGGAGCCAGGGAGAAGAAACAGGGGAAAAAGAATAAAATGACAGCAAAACAAGACATCAATACGATCTGACAAACCATCCTGGAGAAATTTTATATTCAAATATGTCAACTTTGTCTCCCAAAACAGGGCTAGATACAGAATTCAAAAGGTTACTCTAGCTAATGAGTGAAAGGTAAGCTTCCTAAAGAGTAAAGACCTATATCAAGGTAACAAAATCTTTCCAGAGGATGTCAAGAAACCAAAATCCTCCTGAATATCTACCTTAAACCAAACTCAACTGTAACAGGCCAGTCAAACTCAAAACATATGAACAATTCGCAGCTCGCTACGCAGATCAGATGCAATTGCTATGAACAATCATGGTCAGATTGTCAATGCTGTACAATATCTAAAACCTACGGGAATTAGGGTAGTTAATATCCTATCCTGCCTTTGATACTTCAAACTGTAGTGTACTTCATATCCAGCATATGTACGGAATTAGATACCTCCAAAAGCTGCTGCTCCATTTTATCTTTCCATTTAACCAACTCCATAAGCATCCCCTAAAATAGAATGTAATAAACATATTTAGCTGCAAGAAATTAACTTGTAGTAAAAACAGTCATATACATGCACATACTCTCAATATCACACCTGAAACAATATCAATGTTTTGTTGTCTAGATCTGATTTTGAACTAACAGTCGTAGAAGAACAAGGAGTCACATCAGGTTGATCTTCATCTTGTCTCTTGGTAATGACCTCCAACGAATTGCTAATATCATGAGGTAAAAATAACAATAATAATAATAATAAGGCACAATAAAAGAATAAAAGTGCCATTATTTCTCTTTATCTATCTCTTCTACGATTTTTATTCCCTGAAGACAAAAGCAGAGCCTGGGGGGAGGGGATGTCATGTTAAAAGAGTGACTTCAAGTATATTACCTCCTTGCGTCATTTAGTTCTTTGTTGCATGGTGGAGACGGTGTGGATAAGATAGGATCATGAAGTACAACCTCTTGCTGAACATTCATCAGTTCCGTACTCCCTAACCAAGTTGCAAGTCCATCACCTGGAATATTGTCTAAGGTGATGTTTTCTAGCCAATCTTCCCATTCCTCTGAAGGAAAACCCATGGTAGTGCGTTCCTGGGATGACTGCAGATCGTTCAATTTATTGGCTATTTCTGCAAGCTGTTGATCAACTTTAGTTTTCCAAATGACCAATTCACCACACATGCCCTGTCAATGGGTTAAAAAAAAAAAATTAGAATGGAATTATAATACGTGAATAGACACACCCCCTAGCAAAAAACCTTATTACTTCCTTCCATTAGCATAAAACCCATTCCACAAAACATGAATCCCATCAAATTCTTAAAAAGGTGAAGAAGCGGTTGTTGTGTATTGCTTAGCTACCTGCATACCCTTCAAAGAAGTAATAATCCCAGCTAAGTGCTCCTCGGTCGTAGCTTTCAACCTCCCCAATTCCTTCTGCGTCCCCTACAAATAAGAATCATATGAGATATCATCAAGTGCTGGAGGAGACATCAAAACATTGACAGTTAAATAATACAGCACTCACTTCCATCAGATAATGTCCATTCTTCACTTGCTTCTTCAATATCAGCTCCTGCATGTCTCTGGCAATGCAAATGAAAATTATTAATAGAAGTATACATAATGGCAACAAATTCAAGATCAACTTTGAAAATCTAGTTTTGACATTCAATACCTCTTCATTTTGGCCATTTCTATTTGAAGCAACTTCAGTTCACAAGAAGAACCAGTATTCTGAGAGAAGGCACTGCCTGCATTAAAATTAGAGGGTGGCAACCAGTAAGGATCCTGCACCCCAGCCTCCTGACGGACTTTATCTAGGTGAGCACTCTCCAACCAATACTCCATAATTCCTTTGGGGTTGTGCCACCGTCGAAACCGATCAGTCCCTCCAGGTGCTAGTTTGCCATCAATTTGCTTCAGTAAGTGGTCTAAAAGTCCAGTATCACCAATATGTTGACGGGCAGCCTTTCTTAGAGCATGTCGTGAAATTGGATTTGCAAAATTTGCACCCGCACCCTTTAATACCTCCCACATTCTTTGCTCAGCCTGCTGATACCTATATTACAAAATTGCCATAACTTACCATGAGGTGATAACAAAGAAGACAGCAATAATAAAATAAATATAATTTACATTTTTTACCTTTCAGCTGACCATCTATTTCTACTCTGATGCTTCTTCGTCTTAAGCTTGTTTATACCTTGACCCTGGTCTACATCTAACAGCTCTTTCATCTCTCCAAGCTGATTAAGGCTAAGCTGCTTTCTTCTCTTAAACTTTGGTATGAACAAAGTTTTAATTTTAAAATCTTTTTCATCTTCATCTTTTGAATCCTCTTCCTCTTCCTCATCTTCAGAAATTCTCAGCGAGACTTGACTTTTGTATCCGTCTTGCTGATCAATGAACAAAACTTGATTACAAGCACCACACTCTTCCATAGAGGCACCTCTTCTCTGTCAAAATGCCTATGCATTACATCAATATTTTGCGTCACTAAAGTCTTTTATGAAGCAATGAAGAAAGGAGGGAAACTGAATACAATGTGCTATTAGTGGAACTAATTAAGATCTAATACAAGTTGTCCTACAAGAATATCAATTGTTTTGACTTCAGTCTATGTCTATTGGTTAAGAAAAAGATGACGACTAACATGGCTTTGAACTTTCGGTTAAGGTCAAGAGAAAGTGGAAGACAAGCATTAATTGGGCCACAACCAGAAGTAACAAAAGATTCAAACGCTTGAACTACGTACGGACCAAAAACATAAGAATATTAAACAAGTAGTCATCAGCATGTATTTCTCCATTGTAAGAGTAGAGAATTTACATTACAGAAAACCTGCCAAGCAGTGTCAATCAAGAAAGCCCCTCAGATTCCTAGTGCATACTAGTTTATTTTAAAACATAAAAAATTTTCTGATATATAAAACTACATGTCTATGTCGAAAAAATAAAAGCAGCTTCTTCATAAGATACTTCTTGTGAAAGGTCCCCAACAATTGAGAAGCATAATATCGATGATTTCTCGACAAACATCATGAGTCAAGGAAAGAAAATGTCTAAAAGAATTTACACGATGAATCATACCAATAGAGAGAACCAGACATCGAAAAAAAATAAGGGACAACACAATCACTCGGTTTCTTGGCACACACGGGGTGCCTAAAAAGCCTCTTTAAATAGAAAGTAGAACAATCAAACTCCGGTTTCTTGGCACATACTGGGTTATATGACAGCTAAAAGCAGAACAGTCAAACTGTAACTAAAATCCATCTCTGCCATCCTTTCGCTGGGATGGCTCAAGCCAGATTCAAAAAAAAAAAAAACAAACAAATTCAAAGGAAAAAGAGGTTTGAGAGATAGAGCGCAGGGAGCAAATAAACATCAGCCCAGGACGTAAAACCGCACGAAACCCAAAGCAAAATCAGAAAGAACAATTACTCCAGCGACAATGCACTGAACTTAACAGACAATTAAGCATGCTAAAAGCCCTTGAAAAATAATAAGAAGGAGAAGAAGAAGAATGACAAAACGAAAGAGCGAGGTAAGGGGCGTGAACTATGACACTAAAAGGAGGAAGAAGAGACAAAGGTTTAACAAACCAGCGAGGGGATTAGCGAAAGGTTGCGCCGCGAAGGTTGTAGGACAAAGCAGAGGAGGGTGGCCGACACAGTCGCAGGGAAACCAGTGACCCAGACCCAAGAGCTCTGGAAAAGAACGTTTAAAATAAAACCCCAAAAAAATTGGCCCAAAGAAAGACCAAAATAAATAACTTTTAAATTGGATTCTTTTTTTGTAACAAATTGTATATAAGGCCAAATGCAATCTGAACTTTTTGTAATTTGAATTTTTTTTTCACATGTTTTAAGGATTGAACTGAAAATATTTTTAAACCTCAAAGAATGAAAATATCCTTGATGAGTGAGAAGTAAATGCGATACTAAAATGGATATTTGACAAGTAACTATTTAAATATTAACAAGTAAAAATTTAGTCATTGACAAGTTAATGTTCATGAAGCAAATACAACACTAGAATAAGTACATGTAATAATCACATATTTACTTGTCAACTCCTAAATACGCTCTCGTCAATTCACAAGCCTTTAGTTGCTAATTTTTTGGGAAAACAAAATATTGAACTTATGTATTTTATTCAAATTTTGTTATGAGTTCTTATATTTTTTTAATATTTTATAATCTTATATTTTTATTTTTTTTAATATTCTAGATTCCTATAACACCGCTCATAGAGAGTTTTAGAATATCAAAAAATAAAGGTGTAAGAATCTAAAATATTAAAAAAATACATGAATCTATAACAAAACTTGAGTAAAACACAAGCCCCACAGTTATATTTTTCTTAATTTTTTTGAATTACTTGAATTATTCAACACTCATAATTTTACTTGCCAAAATCGAAACAATTACTTGTTAATATGTCAATTTTTACTCGTTAAAATCTAGATATTTATTTGCTAATATTAGAACATTTACTTGTCACTGTGTGAACAATAACATTTCAATATCTCAAAATTTACTTGTTAGCACTTGAATTTTCACTTATCAATATCTATTCCAGTATTGTATTTGATTCCTGCTTATCAAAGGTACTTCGGTCATTTGAGGTTTGAAGTTATTTTCAGTTAATTTCTTCATGCCAGCAGGGAATATTTGGATTGTGTTGAGCTGTGTCAGCAATTTTATTGCTTGAAGGAGCTGAAGATGCAATTCTCCCAAGTATCAATATTCTCTCTCTATCAGCATTTCTTGGTGCGAAACAAGGCAAAACCCAAAACTATATTATTATTTTTTCTGCCTTCCAAAGCTATATTATTGAAAAAGATATCATGCGAGGGTAATTTAGCCTTTTGGCCACTGTGATCCCATAATACTAATAGAAGCTCCATAATTCTGCTTTTATCACCGAGCTCTTCCCTATATTGCAATAAGAATTGCCAAGCCACTCTTCTTTATGATTCAAGAAGTACATCAAAGTCACGCTTTTTTCCCGGTGAAATAAGACATAAGAATTATAGGTCTTAAATAATATAGCCTTCTTTCTTTCTTTCTTTCTTTTTTTGCCATCAAACAATAGCCTATTCCAAAGGAAAAATTACCCATATGTCCCAAGTGACAAAATTAAATACAAAGAAATCATTAAGGGTCCCTTTTTTTTGTTTCATCTTATTTTATAAAAAATCACTTATTTTTTTTAAAAAATCTATTTCATGAGTTTTAATGATATTTGTTTAAAATTTTAAAAATAATTCAAAATATATAAATAAAGCATATTTATGGTTATTTTAAGAAGCTTTTAAAAATAATCTGGATTCTGTTTGTTTAAAATTAAAAAAATAAGTTATTTTCAGATATTTTTAAGATTTTATAAACAGAGATTTATTTGATAGAAATTTTATAAAAAGAAGATATTATTTTATGTTTTGTTATAATAAAAAAATAATTATTAGTTAATTATTTTTAAATTTTATGATATCTACTTTGATTTCTTTTTCATAAAATAATTTATTATTTTAAAATTCTATGATATCTTCATATATCCTGCCTTTTTAAAATACACTCTTATCCATACCATTAGATTATTTTCAGAAGCTGAGTAGCTTTTTAAAATAATCAAGAATTTTTTTAAATTTTGATTATTTTTAAAAATTTAAATAAATATAATAAAAACTTACAAAATACTTTTTTTTCAAAAAATAAGTATTTTTTTACAAAATAAGCTAAAACAAATGGACCCTGATATGGTAAATGAGAGGAAATGTTTTAAAAAGACAGGATATGTGAATAAATTATTTTTATAGAACAAAAATTAAAAAATATATCATAAAATTTAAAAATAACTAACTAATAATTACTTTTTTATTATTATAACTAAACATTAAATAATTTTTTCTTTTTATAAAATTTTTAAGCTATTTAAAAAGTATTTATTTTTTAAATCTTAAACAAATGGGCCTAAGTTCTTCTTAAAAAACTTATTTGCCATAAAGGATTAAAATATTCTGAAATTACCCGGCAAGACCTAAGGACCAAATAGAAAATAAGTTTACTTGCAAAATGACAAAATACCCCATACTTGTTTCAAAAGAAAAAAGTTCACCCATTCACCACTATCAACCCCTTGTAAATAAGAAAGTTTAACTAGTATAACATTAATTATTAAATTTGACCCGCGCACCCAAAAAAAAAAAAAACAAGGGGCTAATTTCTCGATTTGAATTGTAAATATCTGAGCAGGACTTGTAGACCATCAGAACATGAAAAAAAATAATTAAGTAAATATTTTTAAATTTTCATTCAAATTACACAGAAATAATTTAACATTGTATGTAAGAGTGTCCAGGTTAAAAAATTTCAAGAGAAGAGATAATTATAATATAACAATCCTATGATTTAAAAAAGGTATATTTTAGAAATAAAAAAGTATCTTGTAAATTGTAATGCAGCCATTTTCATATTAAAAATAAAATCCGTCTCGTATTATGCCAAAAAAAAATCAAAGAAAATAAATATAAGAAATTGTTTCTTATTAAATTAGATCCCCTTTGTTTCTCTGTTCAAGCATTTGAAAAGAAGTGATATAATGTTTAGACAGGCAAACTACTGTGCCCACTTTTTAGCTAGAAATGTTGATGACTTGATAGATAGTTTTTATACTTTTAGACAACCATCATCTTGCTGTGTTAAGATAATGAACGACCAGATGGAAGCATCTCTTGGAACTATCTAATATTGTACTTATTGGCACTGTAAATGTACATCTTTATTCCACGACACATGGGAATGGGGTAATTTGGATCCTTTATGTTTACAAAAATTAAATATATATATATATATATATAGAGTGTAATTATAAAATGTAGACCTCATATTCCATCACTTTTTCTTGTGTCATTCAAATGAATGATTGGAAAGGATGAATTGATAAATCCATGCCGTATTTACGCTGGTAAAAAGAAAAAATCATATTTACAATACTAGTAAAAAAAAAAAAAAATCATACTCACACTCATCCACTCTTTCTAGTTGGCCTTTTCTAAAATGCACCGTCTCTGTTCATTTTCGTAAATGGCTAATTTCTTTTCTATATATATATATATTTTTTTAATCATAAAGGAAAGTCTTAGCTTGGAAAATTACAGAATATATACTCCTTTCGTTTAAAAATATAAAATATTTTTAATCGAATCTTACTTTCAATAAAATAGTTATTTATCTTCAAATCAATCTTCTTTTTATATTTGTCCTTAATTAATGAGGTGTTTCATCATAAAATAAATATAAAATAATTTATTTAATATGAACACTTAAAAAAAATAATAATTATGTATTAAAAGAATAGAAACACCTTATATTTTTTTAATGAATAAAATAAATATTGTATTTAAATGTTAGAGGAGCTAAATGTTTTAAAAGGGGTAGACAGATTAGGGAGGCCCTATTTGCAGCTTTTCCTTTTTCCTAATCTGGCCATTACATGCATTCATTTCCATAGAATGATAATTCAAAGTATTAATCAATAACTAGGTGGAGTATAAAACGTGATTAAGCAAATAGGTAGACTACATACATGGCTCTCAAATGTTAAGTCCCATCAGTATTTGACACAGCAAAACTGCAGACACGTATGAAACATTTCAAAGAGAGTGATGGCACATACAAGAAAACAACACATCTCAATTATAAATATTGCAGTCATCTTTGATTTCGGCAGCACTGTAGGATACGTACGTTGCTCTCCAGCTATGTTGTACTCTCAACAGTTTCCTAGGTCGAAGCAGGCAAAAATGTTTTGATGATTATATATAAGGATGATGTTGGCTGGTGTTATGTTGTATGAATCTAGTGTGTTTTCAGAATAAAATGAGAGAGCACGAGAATGGTGAAGAGAGGAGGAGAAGAGCAGCAAAAGGGCATTTTGTTGTTTATGTGGGCAAGGAGCTGAGGAGATGTGTGTTGCCACTGTGTTACTTGAAGGATTCTGAGTTTCAGAAACTGTTGGAGGAAGCAGCACAAGAATATGGGTACAGTAGCCAGAGGATAGTGCTGCCATGCGAGGAATCAACCTTCAACAGAGTTCTTGATGATCTTAGGTTTAATAATAATGGTGGCAAGTTCAGGCAAGTGGTAAGTGCCTTTCTGAGTTCTGACTCGTGAGGACGAGGATGAAGATTGTTGGATAACATCATGAGCTTCAGCCACACGAATGATGATCCATATCAATTCGTGTACACAGAATCATCAATTCATTAGAAACAGAAACCCGATGGAAGCCTAGTTTGGAGTTGGAAATTACGTAGTGAATAATGTCATTAGCATGGTTATTAATTATTACTACTTTTCACTGAGTAGAAAAAATAAATAATTTATTATCCGTTCTCCATTGTCTCCCCTTTATTGTCATTATGATTGCTTCTCTGACTCAGCTTAGTTCCAATTTTCATTTCTCTCTTCATTTTCACAAATACAATTATCCCACATAGGATACCAGCAACCAATTCAAATTTGAAAATAATCACGCAACATAATCTTTTTTTCATTTGGAATTGATTTCATACGATATAGGAGGGAAAAA